TGCGCTGCTTAACCTGCTTTTGCAACCTTGGACAGGAGAACTCACTCTGACTCTGAGGGAAGGCCATTAGTTGGACTGTGTCGCCCTCTACAGGACGCCAAGAAACTGTCACCATCATATCCTTTTTGTCACTATTGTTTTTACTTTATCCATCTTTCTACGCCCCACACTCTTGTATGCAGAGCAGTGTGCATTACTGCCCCTCTTCTTGCTTACTGATAAAGACTACAGAAGATTTATTGACTTTACAAAGACAGAAATGGTGATGAGGATGAAGAGGAACCTTTGAAAGACTGATGCTGAAAATGTTGCTTTTCATTTTTAATTTGCCAATCTCTTACTTACAGTAGCTCAGCCACAGACATGTAGCCATTGTACAAGTCTCACTTTTACCACTAATTTATATTTCTCTGTGAGTGCATCATAAAGTACAGTCTAGTTAAAAGTTTATTTTGAGACATCGCACTTGTGTGTCTCTGTAATTTGTTTTAGTTCTTGCAAATTATAACATAAGTACTTTTTGTTGGAAATGCAGAATAAACATACATTAAAAGAAGCTTTTACAACTGCTACACAGCATGTACAGTATATGAGTATGTGTACAGTACACTTGGGTTACATTAAACAGGTCGACTAGGTTTACTAGCAAGTACTCATTAAAAAAAACTACTTTATGTAAGAACCTGTGCTTTGGGAGCTCTTGCTGGGAGTTTCTACAAAATCCTGCTTTTATCATCAGTCGTGGCTCATATTTCCAACTTCAAATGTTTACTTTCTTAGTGATTTCCTCAGACAATGTGCAATTCCAATGCATTCGCAGCCAGGTTTATATTGTTTTGTTTTGTGTTTTTGTCCACTCCACTGTATATAGTGAATGTTTGTCTATGTATGCATCTGAGGACGAGTAGAAATCCTATGAGTAACATTACAGAAATGTTTTTTTTGTGTGAAAAATATCAAAAACTTTTGCATTTCAAACAGCACACATACAAGTGTATTTATGTTTTTGTAAAATATTAAAATTGTTTTGTTTTCCTTTCTTGTAACATTTGTTTTTGCATTTATGTCCTATATGAGTCGTGCTGTAGATGTGTCTAATGTCCTCACACAGTGTCATTTCATTGTCAGAAGACTTCTTCTTCTTGATGCCTTCTTGCTTGTATGTGAGCTGCAGCAGAATGTTAACACTGCCACTGAATTAGAGGAAATCTTATACATGTATGTTGATTTTATTTTGCTGTACAGTTATGTTACAGCAGCTTCACCCTCTAGGTTGTTGGCGTACTGTTTTACTGACGTGTTTGCAGCGTGCTTGTACACCTTTTGTGATGCACCCGAGGCTGAGTCCAAGCTGTATCTGCTTCTTGGTTGGTTGCCAGGTTTTTAAGCCTTGTAATGTTGTGTATAGAAGATGCAAATATTGCTTCCTGTGCATATGTAACATATTGAACCCATGCAACACAGCTTTTACTATATACTTACAGTAACGTATGTAATTGGAAGATAAGAAGAGATGCATTTTGGCAGTATTTGCATAATGATGGGTTTGTTTTTCCTAAAATCTTATGCTTTTATTTTGTTCTTTCTTATTCTTTTGGTATGAAAACCCCAATGTTAATTGTGCCAAGATCAACTTCTTGGTATATTTTAGGATTATTTTAAAATGTACTACTGCATATTCTAGCACGTATAGTATGTGGGGCTCAAGAGGGGCAAATTATTTAACACCTAAAACTTTAGGAATCCTGATTTATTTTTAGCCTCTTTGCTTTAATACACTTACCCCATTTTTATATTGAAACAGGAACATTAGTATCGTGCTGGGATATAAAGCAGCGTATCACGCAGAGTAACCACATGCTACTTTCTACCTATAAAAATATAGTCAGTGGTTAGCATGCCAGCTGGCTGAATGTGTGCCTATACTTGGACTTTCCATTTCACACCTTTTACAAACAAATTTTGTGATATCATTTCAAGCTGTGCTGATCCAGAAACAGTCAAACAAACCATGTAATATCTTCCTTCAATATTACGCACTAAAGGTTAAGATGTTTATTTTAGACACTGTTGGAGAATCTGTAAAGTCAGCAGTTTAATGTTGCAGAGGTATAGTATTTCTAATGGTATATTTTATGATATTTTGCTCTTTTTCATTTGGAAGAAAACTATTTTATAGCTGTTTTTGTGCTGTATATTGTATGTTGTTTACTGTATTGTTCGCTCCTTTTTTGCCTCAGAGGATGGGTGTCAACAAGTACATTTTTTAATGTGTAACACATGTTATTTCCTTTTGTTTCTCCTCTGTTTGCCTGTTCGATATCTTTTATTCCACCAGCTCTGAAGTCTGAAAAATTGAAGTGGCTCAAAACTCTAACTGTAACTAAAGTGTAACAATCATAGCACATTAGATTTATAAGTAGAACAAAAACAAACTTGCATCTACAGAATAACCTGCCTGACTTGGTAAAGCAGAATATATTTTCTCTACCAAGAGACCAACACATGTACAGTCTTGTAGTTTGCTCTCTCACTTGCTACTGTGATAGCCTACAGTATGAATATGTAACACGAATTTATACTGACCATAATCAGAAACATAGCTGTATTTAAGACATATAAAGACTTCGAAACATGGTGTTTTGTAACAGTTACTCTGGAACAGATTGTTGTTTGTTTGATGCTTAATTTCCTTGTTTAGGCTGAATCACTCTAATGACTGATCTAAACATGTTCTGAGGCTGGATGGATGTAAAGCGAGAGTCTGCATATGTGTATGTGTGTGAGAGGGAGCGAAACTGCCGAGAAATACTTAATGTGCATTTCTGCACTGTGACCTGCTCTATTGATGAAAGTGTGTGAGTGTGTGTGAGAAAGAGAGAGATAAACAGTGATGCAGTGGTTTGTATAAAGCTGGATTCTCACAATTCTCACCACCAACAAAATGTTAAAACACTTTCTAGATAAGCATTTTTCATGGGTTTTATACCCCATCCAGCTGATACCAGCAAATTAATGTATAAACAGTAGAAAACATTATGAAGTTCGACTCACGCACTTTGGCCTTGATGGTAGATGAAAAATGAGTGAGGTGAACAATAACAATAGTGAACCGCTTTAGGTTTGCTCCCCACTACATCTCTGATTAGACAGAGTGAATGGGTTTGTGCATATGCAAGTATGTGCATGCATGTGTGTGTGTCACTGTCCCATGCCGGCCAGGCGGCCGTGTGTGCCACCATGCTCTGTGACTGCACAGTCATATCAATAAATCTGGACTCAAAGGGCTCAGATCATGTCTGCCTGTCCTCATTTCTACAACACTACAGTTACTGTAACTGTATCATGTTAAAGGGGAATTCCAGCAATTTTACACATCAGTTTCCATGTACTTGTCATGAGGAACACTATTCATCCTGAAAAAACACATGAGTCTTCTGTGGTTCTCCAGGAGTTTTAGGGCTTGGGATTGGAGACTACAATTTGGGAGGTTATAACAATTAGATGCAAATAAACTGTATAGGAACCACCCACCCCTGTTAGAGTCATAATGCATGTCAATATGAATGAACAAATAATTATATGTAATAATTATAATTGATATTAGTCAAATTAGTTTTATTGTTTGCATTCCTTTCTTTGATTGTGTGTTGTGGAGTACTTGGCATGATTCACCTCAGTGGGGAGGGGGAACCACTCTGCAGCAGTGACGTGCGGTGAGGTTGACAGCTGGTGAGGCACTAACTCTTTTACAGTCAGATTTACAAATACAAATTGTCTGTTAACAGACAATGTGTTATGTTTTATATCTCATATCAGCATTCTTCACACAAACATGACCCATATTTAATTTGAGGTTAAAATTTGTTCCAATTGAGCTTATTTCTAACTAGAAATAATAAAAGTTTATGGTTTTACCTTTAATTGTACAGGAAATCCATTTGTCAGCCGGTATGTATTACAAACCCTTTTACAAAAGTGTCCAGACTGTCTACAATGTTTTGATTGAAAGTCCAGATTTGCGAATTTTCTCAGCTTGGAAATGTAATCTTCCATTTTGATAAGGCGGATTGTAAAGGAAATATAAACAAGCACGAAGAAGATTGTAGGTAGCGCAAGAATCTGTGGGCTCACTAGCGCCCTCTGCCTTGAGGCAGGCGTACTGTTTGCCTCACCGAGTAACTTTTTTACTGGGTTTTATGGTTAATCTGGGCATCTCCTCCATGTATTTGAACGGGACATACGGAAAATCTGCTATTCTTTATTGAAAAAAGCTCATTCAACATGGGATTCGAATGGCAAAAGGGCCTACAACACACAACAGCCAACAAATATTAACATTTATTATATTTTATGGTTAACTTTTTTTTCTTTTCAAGATTGACAAGGGAGGCTCTGCCTCACCTGCCTCCCCTGACCGCACGTCACTGCTCTGCAGCAGCTAAAGAAAGCATTATGTGTGGCTCATTTTTACACAAACTAAACAATTTGATTTGTAATAGTGTTTGGTTTATTGTTTCATAGAACTTGTGCCACTCCTCTCTGAGTACGTGCCCCAACCTGACCACCCTGCCCAAGATTTTTTGGATCCACCCCTGAGTACAGGACACTCACAAAGGTGGTTTATGTTATCAATCAGTTTTGATTTCACAGTTTCAAACAGCACAAGTTATATTTTGTTGCTACAGTATATTGGATATAATGTTACAACTGTGCCTGCTCTTATTTGTTCATCTCACTCTTTTTTTTGTCTTGCAAGTGGCTCATTAGTACCAACTTGGAAAACCGGGGCCAGACCATCTTAGTCACTGATTACAAACCTCGTCCCCCACAGGCCTCCATTTGGTTTCCTTACAACATTAGAAAAAGCAAATGCACAGATTAGGGGACAATACGCACCTGGGTTCAAGGCCCCACAACCATTGTACATACAGGTAGGTGCAAGATCCCCTGACATAAAGAGACACAAA